TTTTCTCATATTCTCTAACACTCAGTAACCCCTTGCATCTCAGTGGCTTTATTGCCTTTCTTAGAGTGAAATGATTAAAAAGAAAAAGTCATTTGATAAAGTCCATGAAAAATAAATTCAAATGAATGAATTTTGTTATGAAATGTACTTAAATTATATTTTGAAAAAGAAAAGTTTTAAAATTCAATTTTACAAAATATTTTTCACTTATATTTAAAAATGTTAAATAACTTTTCACTCACATGGCTTAAGTCAAACCATGGTATGGTTTTCATACATTTTTCAAAGATGCTGCAGGCTGGGATCGCCTCCTCAGGCTGATAACATCGTCACCTTACCGACAAATTGACTATAATGAGTTTCGAACCCAGGTCTCATGGTCGGAAAGCAAATATTCTCAACCCTCAACCACGTACCCATATATTAAATGTATAAAAGTAATAAATATATATTAGTTTTAAAAATAAATTTTGACTGCTAACTTTTTTTAAAATGTATATTTTCTCAAACATGTAAAAGTATTATCTAAAATTTTAAAATAACATTTCTTTAATTTAAAAAGTATTTTTTAAAATATGAAATTAATAATTTTCTTTAATTTTATATTTTATTATATCTTTTTTTATTTTTTTTAGCCTTCTTCACAAGTTGAAAGGTTATTTCTGAATGTATTTTTGAACTGATTCAGTCTTTCTTATCAAATCATGAAATGAAATGGCCACTCTTCTAGATCTTTTTGTATAAATGCAAGTGCTCTATCCTTGGACATACATTGTTTCTAATTTTCATAAATGGATGTCCTGATGTCATCAGTTCTCAACTAAATACTGATGGCAGAAGTATTTACTCCTGTCTTAATAGTAAGTTTTGATCGGTTGACTTGATAGGGTCAAATTGGCAACCAATCTCCAACATGACCTACAATCTGTTGTTAAATGGGGCAAGAAATGACTTGTCAATTTTAAAACCTCCTAAAAAAACTGGTCTCTTTTAATCATCTGAAAGAACCCTTTTTACCTTCCACCAGTATGGCTGATGCTAACCTCCTGGAAAGTGACTCATTACACCTTCTTGGACTAACATTTTCAGTTGACAAGAAGTGGAAAGATTATATTGAATCAGTTGCTAAGTCTGCAGTTAAGAAAGTTAGTTCACTATGTCATGCTAGACAATTTTTCTGGCCAGAATCTACCTTACATATTCATAAGTCTTCTCTTCGTCCATTCCTTGAATATTGCTGCCATATATAGTCAGGTATTCCTGCTATGAACCCATGGACAAAATTATGGGGCAGGTATAGATTAGCTGAAAACACTATAATAAGCATTTTTGAATCAATGTTTCACTGGTTTGTGTTCATTTTTACTTTTTTAGGATAAGTTGCAAAATCATTTACTTGAAATTTAGTGCTAGATCTTTTCTAATTTTTTGTAACAAGTTTAGTATCAATTTATAAGTGCTTCTTCATTGTTGAAAATGTCTCTGAAGAAAAACATTTCTGAAACTAAAAGGGCTGAAATCATTGCATTGTTTAAAGAAGGGTTATCCCAAGTCAAAATTGCAAGAAAAGCGAAATACTCAAGAAATGGTGTACAAACAATCATTAAAAGATATAACAAAACCAATTCTTTCAAAAATTGTGATGGCCAAGGCCAGAAAAGGTGTATAAACTCAAGGAAAGACAGACTGCTGGGGAAAAAAAAAACATTGCTATCTGAGGTTAATAAGAAAAAGAAACTTTCTTTTGCAAAAGAGCATGAAAATTAGACAGCTGAGGATTGGGCCAAAGTTGTCTGGCCTGATGAAAGCAACTTTGAAGTCAGTTCCTTTATTAGTTGAAACTAATTTATTAAGCATAAGTGATTTTTTTAAGCCTATTAATACTGAATTTTTATTGAATATAAAATTATCCCTAAAATTTTTATTATTATCAGATATTTGGAACCCCTGGAGTTGTTTTTGTTTGTTGAAGAGTTGGGGAAGCATATGATGCTCAATGTATTGCTCCCCCACCAACTTTAAAATTTGGAGGTGGGAGCATAATGGTTTGGGGCTGCTTATCATTTTCCTGGACAGGAATATTATTCACATGTGAGGGCAGAATAAATTTCAACACACACAAGCATGTTAGAACAAAATGTTAACCTTCATTAGAGAAAATTTTCAACAATAACAGATAAAGTAATCTTCTAAGAAGAGAACGCACGATGCCACACGATCCAGAGTTTTGAAGGGTTGGTTTGAAAAGAAAGAAGTGAGGGTAATGAAGTGGCATCCTCAATCACCTGGACCTTGAATCCCATTGAACATTTGTGGTCATGCTTATGCAGAAGACTGAGGGTGACACAAATATTCTGCAAAACACGAATTAGAAGTCAAACTTCATGAAAAATGGGAGAAAATCGTGCCATCTACTTGTTCTAATCTGGTTTCCAATATGTTAAAGCAAAAGAAACCCACACCAATATATTAAATACTAGCAGTAGAGCCTGGCGTTGCCCGGGGATGTAACAGTAAGAGATAGATGAAGTATCGACCATCATAAAGACTGAAAAATAAAATTGACAAAAGATTATTGTTTAAGGTTGATGGACACGCATGTCTTAATTAGATTTTTTTTTTTTTTTTACGAATTGGTCAAACCCAAACTGAAACATAAACATTGTTTTCAATCGTTATGAGTCTACCGATTGAATAGAATTTTATTATAAACAATTGTCTTGTAAATGTAATTTTTAAAGCATTCTGAATGTAAAAATAAAGAAAAAAAGTGTGCAAGACAATAAGAAACAATACCTGTCAAAAAAAAGTTAACTTTTGTTGAAATTGGTTGAAAAATGTAGGAAATCCGATCCCATATATAAATGAACACACACACACAGACACATGCACAAACAACCTGGGTTTTATAATAAGTATAACTGGATATGAGTTGTCCCCCTTTCATCCTGGCGACTTAATTGTTTTTTCAAAATGATTTCATGCAAAAACAATTGTTTTTTTCCAATTTTGGGCGCTGTCAGAACCACCGCAAGGTAATTTTACGTAGTCCTGTGAAGTTTTGTTGAAATCGGTTGAAAAATGTAGGAAATCTGATCCAATATATAAACGTACAGACACACACACAATCTGCGTTTTATAATAAGTAACATAGGTTGAATTTACTTTAAAAGCTTTGTTCTTTTTCTTTAAATGATAAAATAAATGAGTTTCAATTATATTTCTAACTTTTATACACCTGTCCTATAATTTTGTTCATGGCTGTATAGTTAGCAATTCCAAAGAATCTGCAATGTTATTGCTCCTGACCTGGCATCTTGGCTTTAGTCACTTTACCACCATCATAATGTAGCTTCCCTGTATCATTTTTATAAATATTTTTATGGCAATTGTTCTGACAAACTTACCTATGCACAGTACTAGATTGGCAGTTAGGTCTCATCATTTTAAAGTTGAAATGTTTAGATGTAACCATAAATTCTATGCTAACAGTTTCTTCTGTTGCACTTCTTGCTTGTGGAATACTTCTGGCTTCTTGCTTTCCAATCAACTTTGATCTTCAAAAACTTAAATGCAATGTCAATCATTATCTTCTGTCTTAATTTCTGTTCTTTTTTTTTATTGTTTTCTCTACATAATTTTTTTTCTCTCATATTCTCTCACACTGGGTAAAACTTTGTAACTTAGGTGCTTTATTGCCTTGCTTGGGATGAAATGGTATTGTTTACAGGCACAACAGCTTTATGGGTCATTTCATGCTGAACTAAGAAAGAAGAAAGAGAAGGATTGAGAGAGAGAAGTGAAATAAAAGAGAGAGACAAAGAACTGAGGGATCCTGCAGAGAGATAATGAAAGAAAGGTTAAGATAAACAGGAGTTAAAAAGACATGGATATCATTTTGATAAAATTTTCAAGAATTCATTGGAGATTTCTCATTTTTATGTTTTTTTTCCTTTCTGGAAGTTTTCTTCATTTTCCTAAAAACAAATAATTTGATGAATCCAGGAGGTAAAGATGAAAAGGTAAAGCAAATAACTTAGCAGAAAAAAATGAACCAAGTTTGATTTCAAAGTTTAAAGAGTTGGTGCATTCCAAGACAATTTGAAATTTTTCTTGTTTCAATAAAATCTTCAAGAAACAAAAGACAATGTGAACAACTTACAACAAGAAAGACATTTATTATTAATACTACTACTAGAAATGTTAATGTTACCCACAACTGTTTCTCTTTGTTAATAAATCACAGCCGTTTTTCTCTTTTTCTTTTATTCATATCATTCTGATCAGTTTTGGTTTGGTTTGTTTTGTTTTACGGCATATCAATCTCAATGGGTCATTTAATGCCGACAACTTTTTTTTTCCTGTTAATATTTTTGTTTTGTCAAAAATCTATTTCTGGAAATATTTCTTTCCTCAAAAATATATAGCTGGTAATATTATTTTCAAAAACGTACTGCTGGTAATAGCTATACATTTTTGAAAAAAATATGATAATATTTTTTTCAAACATGTATTGCTGGTAATATTTTTTTTCTTCAAAAAATTTATTTCTGGTAATAATTTTTACAAAGAATTTCTGGTATTAAAACATATTTTTGCATTTTCAAAATGCTTTTTACCTCAGTTTCAGGGTTAACTATTTGTCCATAGCTGGGACCCTAATCGGTGCTACCACCCTGGGTCAGGGTGGACCTGGGAACAAGTTAAAAAAAAAAAAAGAGGTTCCACGCTTCTCAAGGCCTCCTGATCAGAGGCCTTGCTGTTGGACGTAATTTATTGTCTTACCCTGGACACGGATGTAGTTTATCGTCAAACCTAGGACGGTCATTCTGATCAGGTGCCTTGACATAGTGGTTGACATGCTAGTTTTTCACATGATTACTTGAATGACTTTAATTCTTATGATATGCTTCATGGCCTTATGCCAGACTTTATAATGCTTTAACTTATAATTTTTCAGACTTTATAATTACCTGGAGTGTCTATGACAAAATTGGCTTATGGTCAAATCATGTTGAAACACCAATTTGCATATGATCCCCAAAGTTAAGAAATGTTGAGCCTAGTCAGTACCTAGATAGGTGACCACTTGGGAATACTAGGTGTTATAAGCTTGGATGTACAAGTGGTGAAACGGATAACAGCTCAAATTTGGAAGTCAGAGAACCAAGTTCCAATTCAACTTGGGTTTGTTATATTCATTTATATGCAAATACTCTTGGGAAAAAACTCTTACACCCTAAGAATATTTTTTTGCCTTTAAATAACCTGTAAAAGATTGATAGTAGTAGAAAAGAAATCAATCAAAAATGCTATAAAATTATGTTTAACAATCAAGTCTCATTATTGTAGCCTTATGTCAGACTATGATGACAATTACCCAGGGTGCAAGCTGTAGAATGATGGTTTTCAATCTAGTCTCACTTTACTGGATGCTCTGTTATTGTAATCTTGTGTCATACGATGATAACATTTATGGAATGACTTGCAATCCAGTCTCACTTTACTGGGTGCTCGATTATTACAGCTTTGTTTCAGACTATGATAATGTTTATAATTACCTAGAATGCCTGCTATAAAATTATGATGTGCAATCCAGTCCCACTTTACTGCATGTTCCATTATTGTAGCCTTGTGCCAGACTATATTAACTTTTATAATCCACTATACACTAACAGTGTAGTGTTTGATTTTTAATGGGTGTTCCATTATTTTAGCCTTGTACCAGACTAACCTAAATAACTAAATGTGTTTTGCTATAGAGCAATACACAGCAAGCTAATCTTTGAAAATATTACTATTTTCAGGAATTTAATTCTCACTGTGGGATCCTTGTACCAGACTAAGTATATTCTTCTTCTATATGCAATGTCCCTTCAGAATACAGCCAATCATGTTTCTCCACAACTTCCTATCTATTGTGGCTCTAATTAATATTTGTTCCATGCCCAATCTATATTCTGTCATCAATTTATAGGTTATAGGAACTCATTAAGTAGGTTACTAGTGGTTTTCTTCTGCTCTTCTTGCCTTCAATATGTCCTTTGAATGTTATATTCTCTAAGCCTCCTTACCTCATTATGTGTCCTAGAAATTTCAATTTTCTCTTTTTAATTTTAAGTATAAGTGTTCTTTTTATTTCCATTAAAACTTCCTGTTATAGTGGAACACACCTATTCCATAGTTAATAGACTCTCCCACCTATAATAAGTAGGAGTAGTAAGAGTAACGAATGAGTCGGTCAGTCAGTTGATGTCGGATGACAGTCGAATACTAAAGTATCAGCGACCACAACTAGATTACTCTGTGTAATACCTATTATATCAAGTTTCTAACGTTTTATACATCGAACCTATTTTAGGACCGACTTAGTACAAATACAAGCCTCCACTGTGAAATCACTCCACAACACTTCCTACAAGTTACATATTCCATCCATCTTATTCTTAGCAACCTTTTTGTTAAACAAGGAAAGAAGGTAGTAAGTTGAGAGATAATGATGTAGCATTTATGTTCTTAATGATCCTAAATTTGAAATAGTCATGGGTTCACATATTTATGATTGTAAAATACGATTTTAGCCACAATCATATACAATTCAAAGATACAAGAATTATTGAAGATGAATTACCATTCCTTTTACGGCAATGGTTCTTAACCATTTTTAAATGACGAACCTTTATAAGAACTAGCCCTTCATAGAAAGACAAGCAGATACTCACAGTCTGGTTTTTACATACTGCATGCACACTGCACGCATATCACTTTTCAGCCAGCCATGCTTAAAAGAAATTGTTGTCAATTAAGTCTCATCAGGATATGAGAAGAAAATCAATCCGTGATAAAGCGTGGAAAATGAGAATTATCACTTGCTCTAAGGGAACAGCAAAAGATGGTGGTCATGCACAGAATGATGACACATGTTTAAATAAACATAGACCCAACAGCATGTCAAGAGATGCCTAGCAGTTGGCACTTTAGGTGTTAGCTGGGTGTATTTTCTTTCAAGCAGTCGCAGGATGTACTTTCTTTTTTTTTCTTTTTTCTTTCAATAGGAAACAGTTTATTAAGACAAGGGGTGTATAACGAATATAAATGTTATATTTATCTGATCCTCATGGACACCCTGAAACCCATCCATAGACTACTTAGGGGGCCATGAACCCCAGGTTAAGAAGTCCTGTTTTATGGGAAGTTCTTCCAGAGGTTTTAATCATTTCTGAAGTTGGGTTGGTGGAGTGCCATTGACCAAAATCTGATTGAAATTAGAAAGAAATTCTACAAAGTTTTGTTCTGACTGAATATTTTATATTATTGCACATTCTATATATTATAAGCGTCTACTCTTGAGTTTTGTATTAGGTGAACATTTAGTAAAAAAATTTTAGTTCCTGTTAAGTTTACTTGCATTATTTACAACAATTGGACTGTTATCCTCATCTTCATTGCCATATTCACAACATTTCGGCTATTGTACGCTCTGGCCTTCTTCAGGAGATTGGAATTTTGAACCGAATGATTTATTTCATCTACTGGGGTAGATTGTTTTAGTTCCACATGCCATGCCACTTCTGGATGTCTTAGTTACTTCCCTTTACTTCAATTCTCCAAGTTTTGGTTCACTACTGCAGTGGCCTGGTATTGAACTCACAACTCTTTGGGTCTAGTTACTTAATCTAACCAACATCTTTATCCATTGGGCCATGTGTTAAGTTTCTTTCAAAATCTGTTTTCTTTTCAGGTTGATTCATTCTTAAAAGATTAATCTTTTTTTTTTGTTATGAAAGTCAATCAAAACAGAAGAAATTTACAAAAAAAATATGAAATAGAATGTGTAAAGAGAGGCTGAAAACGGTTGTTTTTTTTTTTTTCTATCGTGGTAGTAAAAGCTTGAGAAGAAAAAGAAACAAACACACACAATTCAATAAGAAAGAAAAAAAATTGTTTAAAATTCTCACTGATCTATGGTAGCCATTTTGACATTTACGATAAAAGCAGTTTCAACTCAGAAAACAAAATAAGAAAACCATAACACAGCATTTGTTTTTAATAAAATATTTTAAAAACGATATGAAAAAGAAAGAAAATGCACCAAACAGAGAGCTTTAAAAAGATTATCTGCTAAATCTATGAAAGGAAAATATCTTTTTTAAATTTCTTTTTCCAGATGACAGAATAAAAGAAAAACATTGACAGGATAAAATGCTTCTCCTAACGAATTGTCTCTTTGTAGCACATGAGATAATTTCAGGTGATTTTCACTTTTTTTTTTTTTTTTTTTTTTTTTCATTCTGACATTTTTATAAGTTTATTTCAATGTTTACAAGAAAAACTTACAAAATCATTCAATTATTAGCAAATGGTATCCATTTTTTTTATTTGATATTTTAATATCAACTATCAATGAAAGATGACTTTAGTTCAATGCTTAAAATCAGTGCTCCCTATAATGGGATTCACTATATGATTAGTTATACAATATGACTTTATGGATATATTACATATTAAGCATAGTATACATCAAAAATTATTTACATATGGATTTGTATTAATGTTGGAAATCAAAGAGTTGCTTTCCAGCTCTTTGCCCAGGATCAGTGTAACATCTGTGCTTTCTGCCTAGGATCAGTGTAACATTTGTGCACATTGACTTAGAATCAGTGTAATATCTGTGCACACTGGCTAGGATATGTGTAGTATCTGTGCTCTTTGCCAAGGTCCAGTGTAGGCATCTGTACCCTCTACCGATGCCCAGCTTAGAATCCGTTCTCTCCATCTAGGCCATGTGTAGCATCTGTGCTCTGTGCCTAAGCTCACTGTAGCATTTTACTCTATGTCAATGATAAGTGTAGCATCTGTGACCTCTGTTAAGAATCAGAGTAGCACCTGTGCTCTCTGCCTAGGATCAGCGTAGTATCTGTTCTCTTTGTGGCCCAATGTAGTGTCTCTGTGCTCTACCTGGGATCAGTTTACCATCCTTATGGTTGGTGAAAAGTGCTAACATATGCAGTACAACTATATCTGTAAATTATTTTGTCAATATTTATGACGTTTAGTCATGTTGTTTATGAGAAAGAGACAAAAGTTTCTGGGACACATAATGAGGAAAGAGGGCTTAGAGAATTTGACACTTGCAGGACATATTGAACACAAGAGGAGCAGAGAGAAACAGTGAGTAACCTACCTAATAAGCTTGTAAATTAGAGTTACAAAGGATCGAAAGTTGTGGAGAGACATGATCAGACAAGTTTTAAAATAAGACATTTCCGGCCTAAAATTTCCGGGGCTAAAATGAAAAATTAAATAAAGTTTCAACAATGTTACCCTGTGAAAATGTATGCCACAGAACAAGAGATGGGAAGGACAATAAAGGGATAAACATTGCTTAGATGTACAAAGGAAAGGAAATTGTGGAGAGTCATAATTGACTACATCCTGAAGAGACACAGCACACAATAAATCTTCATTTTTCTCTGTAAAAAATTTCCTCCATTTTCTCAGATTAATGATTAAAAATGACTGAGTGGTTGAACACAGTAGGTGTTAGGGAGGACTATCCTCTTTGAACCTCATGGACTCATGCTACATAATCACAAAGAACTTGTACCAAATTAACAGAAACTACATCATTTTAAGATTTTTAACAATGTCAATAACTAAAATGGATAGCAGAAAATAATGATGTAATGACGATGTTGATCTTCACACTATTTCAAACGAAATGTTAGAAAGGAAATCCCCCATCAATACTATAAACAACGATAATAGTGGGCTTGAAATATATATTTTCCAGAAAAATTATTTTAATAGATTTTATAAATTTTAACTGAAAGTAACACTGGCTGTACAGTCAATAAACACCAAATGTTTCAATATATGACTATTAGCATTACCATCCAATGTATTTTTCAACCTTCCTCAGGTGTATGTTGCATCTGGTGATCTTCAGAAGTCACTTAGTATTTTTTTTTCATCTCAATGAGACTTAGTTGGTATTTTGTTTAATGCTAAGACAACTATAAATGTATCAAAATCTTTCTCAACGATTAAATCTTGGCTATAAAAATCTTAAAAGGACTATTTGCTTTGCTAATATCTGCATCGTAACA